TCTCTCTCTCTCTCTCTCTCTCTCTCTCTCTCTCTCTCTCTCTCTCTCTATGCAACTATGTAGCATGCAAGTGATATATAATATGGTATGGCTGTTGCAATGCACATATCTTCAAATGTACATAAGATATATGAATCAATTCCAGTGAATTTTTTTGTCGAATCGGGAGTGAGAGAAGAGAAGAAAAAAAAAAGAAACCCGTCGACACTGGCATGGCTGGCGCACTCTGTTTAGAAAAATATCAACACACAACAGACTAGATATACACATATGTATATAGTATAGACGTATAATGTCTGGTATGGAAAGATTGTGTGATATGTTTTAAATGCTTGTACACGCAAGAGTAAACTTATTATTATAACGGCCTACCGTCATCGTAAACGTCTAACTACGCTACTATAAGTGGTATATCCGTGTGCCGCGCGTATGTTTACATTTTCAATGCGCACGTTAGTTGCTTTGTTGTTGTTGTTGCTACTACATATTCTATATAGATATATGTATATGCGACAGACTGTGCGAGTGCACTGAGAATGCTGTACAGTTGCTCGAAAGCCCTCATGGGACGGTGAGACACAATTTTTTTTTCCGTCGTCGTTTTTGTTGTGCAGAAAGAAAATCGAAAGGCAACTCAAGACGGACTGAATTCATGAAATCGAAATGCATTCGATTCACCGTATTCGTTCGCATTGGGGACATTTTTTTATTTACAGGACATTTATACATGTATGTATATTAAACAAATATACGCGTTCACATATTCGACAAATTGATCCAGAATGTTATGTTACGTTCGTGTGCAGTATTCAAGTCTCAATAAAGAAAAGTATCATTGATATCAATAATGCATTTATTTGATATCTCTCTCTTTCTCTCTCCCGTTCAAACTGAACAGACATTATTTTATGGTTATTGATTTTCATTTGCATCTCACATCAATGTAAATCAAATACTTGACAAGAAGATATAGTATATCTATGGACTAGAGATGCTCAAAAGCATATTGAATGATCGTTTACAGTGGCAATTAATTTGAATGGAAAGGATTTTGCTCTCCGGTCATTCATTGGTGAAACGGTGGAATTCGATGTATGAAACCGAGACGAAAAAAAAAAACAAAATAAATCGAAAAAAAAGCATACACAAACAAACATAATTTTCAATGTTTTCACATCAATCGATGTGAGAATCCGGAAACTCAATGCTTGATTCCAAAAATAAGAAGTATGTCAAAGTGACATATCTTCTCCACACACTACTCGCACTCGCTCACATAGCGATGCTAGCGTTACCGTCATTGCGTGCCCGTACATTGTATGGCTGTGCTCATACGATGCCATTCGATATACACACAGACGCCGCTCAATTTTCTTCTTATTCTTTTCGCTTTTATTTCGCTATCTCTGTCTCTCTATCTGTACAAAGAATTCATCTGACGATTCATCACATAAATGCAAAGGAAAATTTTCCCTTGTGTCTTTCTTGCACACGCAAGCGATATGCATTTGCTTGTGCACACATTTTTTTTTCTTCTACTTCTTCTGTTTCTACATTCGGTTCGTTTGTGTGTTGTTGTTTTTTTTGTCGTGGCGCGCATTCAACAACATCCTTTTGGATATTGCCATTGAACATTTAACGCACATTCGACCAATAGCACAAAACCATTTATTGGCTTCTTTGTTCAACAAATCACATACACGCACGAAAAAAATTCACTTAGATCTTGACATTATTTTTCTCGTCTCTTCCATCTTTGTATGTTTGTGTCTGTCTCTTCGTTCTTTTTTTTTCCTGAGCGAGTGATAATAACGACACATACACACACACACACACACACTCGAAAAAAAAACCGGGTGGTCTTCGATTATTTTCTTTACCAGTCTCTCTTTTCGTCATTCAACATTGAAATGTGATGTTTCGTGAACATCTGATTATTTTGTTTTAGCTCATTGAATTTTAACTCGAATTGAAAATGCTTTCATTAAAAATAAACCTGACTAACTTTATCAATTTGATTTTGTTTGGATTATTTGCAGAAAACAATGCGGTCAAGTGGTTTTAGACGTTTTGAAAGAGCATCCCGTCGACGATGTATTGGAAAATATCCATCAGATCGCATCAACACTGTCAATGGCATCGGAAGATACAGGTATTTATCACACTCTAAAACGATTTCGTCTTCTATTTATGGGATATTTAATACACACTTGAAGAAGCAAATGAAGAAGAAAAGCAAGGAAGAAAGGACAAACTTTCAGTAAAATCAGAACGAATATTCAAAAGAGAAGGACAAATATACAAAACCGAGAAGTAGAAATTTTACTTTGCAAAATAGGTTATCGCAGTCAATGGCTTTTTATGGAAATAAAAGCGGTCATATCAATACACGGCGCATAAAATGTGCGTCATTTGTACATTCTTTGATGATAGCTACAAAATGTATTTCCATACACAGTTGTAAATGTACCGTTGGCTTAAGACTACTGTAGAATTCGTTTTTCATTCCTTTTTGCTTTGTATTTTATGTATGTATAAAATCGATTACGCTCTGGGGATTAATCTCGCACTTTGATTTTGGAAACATGCAAAATTGCCGCATGGTTTCAATGCAGGTTTCAATTCAGTTTTGTAGAAGTTCTAATATTTTTGTTTACGACATGTTATTTGCAAACAATTTGTTTTCCATTTGATTGTACTGCAAAAAAAAAGAAAGAAATATTCATTGCAATTTTTGTTTTCTCTTGTGACGATGCCGATGATTTATCACACACTACACCAGAGTGTATACAAATTCAAAGCCGAGCATTGATAGATCAACACAACACAATTGACTCGCCAAAATGTTGCGAACAAATTACTAGATAGGGAAGAAATCAATCTAGAACAGCAAATAGGAAAACTAGGAAAATTCAAAGATAAATTCGAACATGCACAATGTTCAAATTTGTACTTGAATTAATGTAGCAGTACATTGTCTTATTTTAGAACATCTCATGCACGACCAATATTTACAACATCACTTTTGACAACGACAACAACGAAAAGCACAAAATTTATGCCAACAACCAATGATATTTTGCGTAGTTAATCGATAGTAATAATACTAAAAAAGAAAAACAAACCGCCGTACTTGATGTTTTATGCGCGTGTATACACACACTGAATGGAGACAACATTTCGGATTCGGAGCAATTGACATGCTGCATTCTTTGCAACTTTTTTGTTCCCCTTTTTCATTATTATTTACAAGTTCCGCCAAGTTGCACAATAAAATGTGATTGTGTACCATTCATAAAATGCATTTCAATCGAAATGCGAATACAAGATGCTGGCACATACAGACGGAATGAAAACGCAAGAGTCTCGCGAGACGTAATACACAGTCAGGCACACATTGAAGCACGAACGGGCGAAAATGTACAAGATTCTCTCATTTGAACATGATGAGGCAATAAAATTGAAAATCATTTCTCAGAAAATCAATTAGTTTAGCGTCCAGACAGAAAATGAAAACAACCAAAATTTGAAAAAGAGGCAAAAATAAGACGACATTACATCGCTGCGCTATTCAATCATTCAAGCAAAAAGACGACGACGACGACGATGACGACTAGAGAGGGAAAAATGAAGCGACGGTTTCGAAAATACGCGCGACTCATCGCGAAGAACAGAAATTACCACAGCCAGCACAAATGTAAAAATAGATCGATCTAATTTTAGTATCAACATATTTCCTATGAATTTGAACAAGATTTCAATGTTTGTGTTTGTGTGTGTGTGTGTGTGGTTTTGCGTTTAGCTCAACATTTTGAAGTGTTCAGCTTTTAAAATTCCTCGTTTGCAACATGCACAGGACATTCATTGAGATTGTGTAAGAGACAGAAAGACTTATCGAGTAAAATAGGGAGAGGATGTGTGTGTTTTGTAAGCGACTGAGGTAAATACGAAAAATAACGAAAAGAAACAGAAATAAAAAGTCAAGCAAACCGCGAGCTCATCGCGCGCCCTCATTCGATTCGAGAGGAGCCGATCCAAATGAAACGACAACGCGAAATGTCTAGTAGAGCAAGAGGATATAGTGGTGTTCCCTTTGTCTCGTTCGCTCGCGGTGCACGTTGCACGAATGCATTAATTGCGTGTCACATTCCATCACCACAAGCGCACCCATTGCTGCTGATGTCTCGATTACATGTGTTGAAGTATGCCTCCGCAGATTTATTGCCATTCATTTGTAACACGCCAAAAGACGCACACCGAACGCCGTCAAACGCGCAATACAAGAAAGAGGAAAAGTCAACCAAACAAATACATTTCTGATTGTGTTGCGATGAATACGGCGTTCTAATACATGCATGTGAAAAGCGAAAGAGAGCGAGCGAGAGCGAGCAAGAGCCGCCCCACTTTTCACCGACAACAACGACAACGACGATGACGACGATGACGGCGACGGCGACGACGACGACGACGACGACGACGACGACGACGACGACGACGACGACGACGACACGCTCTCATTTGTATACTACAGACATGCAATTCTCCGCGTAAACATTTACATTTACGTACGCGCTGCAATAATACATGCATGCCCAGTTTTTACGACAATCATGCAGTGCGATGCAGCAAGCTTTAACACACAACATTCACGGCAAACTTTGTGTGTTTTGTTTTTTTTTCGCATTTCGTTGATGTTATTGCCGCTGCTGTTGTTTTTGTTGTCGTCGCTGTATCCGCGCATATGGAGCACACTTCATATGCCATAAATTTGTGTTGACCATGTTCATTCATAAAAAATTATACGCTTACGTTGACGTGAATCCGATTTAAATGGATGAACATCACATTATCCATTAATTGTTATTAGCTTGATTGAACGCGCTCTCTGCACAATATAACAATGCCGTACGTGCGCGGTGTGCCCAAAACATCCATGAAACAAAAACCAAAGCAGAAGAAGAAGAAAAAGAAGAAGAAGAAGAATCCAAATAAAACTCCTATACAATAATCGGCGCGTTATGCACAAACGACTGAGCACGAAACACTTGACAAACTCATTGACGGAATGACTGAATTCCACGTTTTATCGCGTACACAGTATTGCCATCTATACCATATTCTACCGTTTTCCGGGACCAATCCATTCGCACAACATAAATGAGTTTCTCTTTGACAAATACACATACACATTTAAAATGGGCATTTCTTCTATCAATCTTATTGCCGCTTTTTTCTCTCTTCTTCGGCAGTTTTTATATTTTAGAAGTACTGATGACTGGAATTGCAACCATTTCATTGGTCAATAATATATTTTATCAGTCATTTGTTTACAGAATGAAATTAAACGTTCCGACAATGAAAACGGCCGCCTTTAGGTCATAGGCGAGCGCGCGCGCAATCAATTGCGATATATGTATTGCACAATACATACATACATACACACACACACACACACACACACACACACACACACACACACACACA